ACTAAATCTATAATAAAGAACTTATAGCTATTATTAAAGTATTCTAAGAATAAAGGCTACACCTATTAAAAACTAAACACTAGGTATTAGTTTATATAGACTATAAGAACCTTTCTTACTTTACTACCTTAAAAGTTCTTAATAAATAATAAATATAATAGTTAGAATTCCTCTTAGAATATAACTTTAAGATTATCTACTATAAAAGAATAAAAACAAGAGAGTAGACACTCTAAGTAAAAGACTAGACTATAAAGTACTAGTGCTAAAGGAAATATAAGTTATCCTTAAATATAATAACAACAGTAATATTATACTAGCCTAGAAACTTATTATAATTAGTAAATATATTAATACTAGTATAACTAGTAAGATAATAGCTAACTAGATCTATAAGATATATAGTGCTAAGGCATATAGACACTAAGGAGTTATAAAGATATTTAAGAGAATTTATTAACACTATAATAAGTAAGTTATATATAAAGAAGTAGCCTTAGTAATTAAGGACTATAAGATATACAAGAAAAGTAAAAATAGTCCTTATAAGCTATATAGGTAAATATAACTACTACTAGTACTACTAAAGGCTTAGTACTTTATCTCTTTAGACTTTATTATTAAACTCCTAAAGTTAAAAGAACTACTTATAAAAACCTATTACAATAGTATATTAGTTATTATTAATAGACTTATAAAGTACACCTACTTTATCCTATACCTAGAGTTAAGTACTATAGAAGACCTAGTGTATACCTTCTTAAAATATATTATTAGTAACTATAGATTACTAAAGGAAATTATATTAGATAAAGATAAGTTATTTATATCTAAGTTCTAGAAATCCTTAATTTTATAACTAAGAGCTAATTATAAGCTATTAACCTTATTTTATCTATAAACTAATAGCTAAATAGAAAGAATTAACTAGATACTTAAATAGTATTTATAATACTATATTAACTATAACTAAGATAATTAAGTACTATTACTTCTTATAGCCTAATTTACCTATAATAGCGCTATTAGAGAAAGCACTTTAAACTTACTATTTTACCTAAACTATAGATTTTAACTAACAGTATATAGAGAACTATAATAAGGACTATAGGCACTAAAAGCTATAGCTAACTTTAATAAGATTTAAGAACTCTAAGAATTAGCCTTAAGAGACCTAGAATTTATTAGACAATAAATAATAAAGTACACTAACTAGAAAAAGATTAAGGGACTAACCTTTAAAGAGGGAGATAGTGTGTATCTTATCTACTAAAATATTAAAACTAAGTAACTAAGTAATAAACTTAATTATAAAAAACTTAGACCTTTTAAAATCCTTAAGAAAGTCTTACTAGTTAACTATAAACTTAATTTACTAGAAATAATAAAAATATACCTAGTCTTCTATATTATACTACTTAAACTAGCACTATAAAGATTAAATACTAACAACTATATTATTATAGAACTAAATAAACTAAAATATAAAGTTAAATATATTATTAATAAACACTATAAAGATAGTAAAGAATAATACCTAGTAAAGTAAAAAGGCTATAGGTATAAAGATAACTTATAAGAACTAGTTAAGAACCTCTAGTACTCTTAATAGCTACTCTAAGACTTTTATAAGTACTAGAAGAATTAGGTACTAATAGACCTATACTAGTAAACTTATTACTAAGCCTATATAAGGACTAGTCTATATTATTCTTAATACCCTTAGCCTAAAGATTACTTACTACTTAACGCTTATAAGCATTAAGTACTATTAGGGTATTTACTTTCTCTAACTCCTATATCCTCTATATAAATATCTCTATATAATATTCTTTTACTTTCTTATAAATAGTATAAATCTTTAATAGATAACTAGCTGCCTTAGCTACCTTAGATTAGATCTAAGTAAGCTACTAATAAAGCTTAAGGAGGGTATTACTTACTTTTTCTTTTTTCTTCTCTTATTCTTAACGCTAATTACTTAGCCTTTATACTATATATTATTAGTAGTAAACTAATAAAATAAAAAAAACTTTACTTATAACTTAATACTACTACTATTCTATTATAAGGACACTTTAAGTTTTTATAACCTTAATAAACTTTAGCCTCTTTAGCTATTTAATAAATATAACTAGTATAAAAGCACTAAGTGTAAAGTATAATATTAGAAGAACTAAACTATTAGAAAACATAATTATATACTAAATAAAGTACTAATTTTAATCCTAATTTTTTTATATAACCTAATATAGTGTTAGTATTATAGGTAATTAAGAAGTAGAATTAATAACTTCTTAACCTAGGAGATATAACCTACTTATATAGGTCTTAAGGGCAAGACCTTTAAGAGAAAAAACCTAATATTATAACTTAATAAGCTATAAGTAATATTACCTTACTTAGTAAAGTAACTAGTAGGTAGTAATAGTATTTATATAGAACTAATAGATAAGTATAGACAAGATAACTTCTATAGATATAGAAGAACTATAGTATAAGTTATATAATAATAAGATTAGATAAGATCTATATATTAGAAATATAGAAGCTATATACTTAGTATATAGACGCTATATAAAAAATATATAGGTGCTATAGTTTAGATATATAGCCTTATATACTAACAGGGAGAATAAACTTATATATAGAATAGACTTAGACGTACTTAAGGATAGACTCTTATAGCTCTTTAGTAATTAACTTCTTATAATATAATTTATTTAAATAACTTTTAGTATTTAACCTTAGTAATTTAATTAATAAAAGCTATATAAGCTACCTTTATAACTATTAACTACCTAACTAATTACTAAGTAATTAATAGACTAGTAAGCCTATACTACTGTTAACTAAGTATTAACCCTAGCTTATTCCTAGTAAAAACCCTACTGTTAGATTACTAACTATAATATAAGGGTAGTCTTCTTAGTTGTCTAGCTATTATCTATATATATAAAGTTCTATCCTTTATATCTAGATAGGTTAAATAAGAACCACTAGGCCTAGACTAACTTGCCCTTATATATAACTAGTAGGCATAGGGACCTCTTATTAGTAGCTATACACTTAATAATAAATATCTATACCTAGGATCCTAGCTACTTTTTTTAGATATACTGTAATACTATAGAGCCTAGCACTAGCCTATTAGATCCTTTGCCCTCTATAATACTAGTCTTATCTATATTCTATTAGTTAAATAAATAGATTCCCTAGATAGTAGGGATACTAGTTAGAAGCTAGAAAAACCCCTAGATAACCTTAGAAGAATAGGCCTTCTATTACTAGGCATTAATTACTCTAGATTAATAGGTCCTAATTAATAGGTTTTACTATAGGAATTACTGTATTTATCTTTTGCCTAGAGGTTAATAGGTATTATAAGTATTACCTAGTATACACTCTACTAGGCCCTTTAGTTGTTAATAGGTAGGTCTATTGCCTAGGGAATACTAGGTTTACACTTATCTAGCTAGATAATCCTCCTAGGCTTAGGATAGTTACTGTATATAGGTATAGGCAGTATCCTTTAATAGGGTGCTATAGAGCTAATATTAAAGAGTATAGTATAGTATTCCCTATCTATAAGCTGCCTAGTAGATAGAATAAGTAGAATCTATGTCCTAAAGTGCCTATTAGAGCTCTTCTTTAGTATATAACTTTATAATATAATAAATAATATATCCTAAAAAAATAGCGTTGTTTAGTTATATATAGTAATTGTTATAATAGTTTAAAAAAGGTAGTGGTGTTGATGAAGGAGGAGAAATGCATGATTTCTAGGTGGTGCAAAAGCGGGGGTGGTGCATATGCGGGGTATTTGAGTTATTAGTTACGTGAGGTGAGAGCGCAAGTGTCAGCAGCACCCTTGCGTGTGGGCAAGGGTGGGGGATACTGCCGGTAGGCGGTGTGTCACGTGACCCACCTCCTCCGGCCGCATCACCCATATGCCAACAATGCCCAATGTTGTCTATAGCGTCCTCGTATAAGTTATACAAAGCAACATCATGAGAATTACTAGCCACACAATCTTTTTTTTCTTTCTTTGAATATATATACATCTATATTTGTAAAGCTAGTAAGATTCCAATTCTACCCCGGCTTCGCACTGATACGACTTCAAAGTTCAAGGAGGATCCATTCTGTTCAATATTATGACCACTCCGCCCAGACATCTAGGATACCTTTTTAGCGAAGCAAAAGGACGACTGAAGCTTCAGAAACGCTCCATCTTGTAGATCTCTTTTCTAAACTGGAGTAATATTGTCAGTAAAGAAGTGAGTTCGGGTTTAAACGCCATCTTGAGGAGAACCGAATGCTCATACTTAGCATGCAGAAACCCGTACCATCCACCCTTGAAGCGACGCAAGAGCCATGGTAAACATAACCAGATTATTTCTTATGGCACCCGGCATGTAGTGAAAGGTTTAATTCTATTCATTTCAGTCGAATCGTAGGTCATCACATTCGTATTACAGCAATCGCCGAGTATTCTGCTTGTAACGTTGCATACCGAGTAGCTGTCTTTCACTCTATTCCTAATGCTCTAGATGACCACGCCCTTGTTGCCGTCTTTGGAATGTCGGTAGATCATAATGTCGGGAAGGTTTATGTCTGGAGGCTACAATATTTTCCAGGGTCATTCTCGGTAATTATTGGGTCATGGCATGTGGTCGGCCTAGTGCACACAAGCGACAGCTATGGGTAACTGTTGGAATCGATAGTAGTCAAACGGGGAGATGTAGACAATAGATAAATAAGCAACAGCAACTTTGTTTCAATTCATGGAGTGGCATGATTTATACTAAGCTTTAATCTGTGCGGTATATCCACACTTTTGAAAAACAAAACGATCAATAATTGTGGTCTTTGGTTACTTCAGGCGCTAAGAAACATTACATAAATAGGATGCTGTGATGACAAAAGCGGATCCGTAATTGCCACTGCGCAATTACGGCCTATATCACGACAGATGCTTTGAAGGTAATATGGACAGTCTGGGAAGTTGGAAGTCTATAGAATAAGCTCGGATGGAAAATACGAGAAGAACAGAAACTTTCCATTAATTACTTCAGGCGCGCTGGGTGATGATTTAGATGGATGCAGGGGATACCTGGTGGGAGTCATACCAAGCCATGAATCAATGCCAACTGAATTGTTATTGCCTTCCCAGCGTCCCTATATGCTCAGTCAGGGTAACACACATGGCCCTAGAAAATAGAAACAGAATGGAAACAAAGGCGAATCTGTTGATTAGATGCTCTAGATCACATCATATAGTGATCAGTCGACTAATAGAAAACATATTATCTATGTAAGGTTCACAACCGCCCCACGTTCTAGCACTATGCCAGTACTATGCACTATGGTCTACAGGCTTAGCCAGAGGACCCGCGGTGATAGGAGTTATAATTGGCAAGCTATCCTCAGATTTGGGCGGCGCAACATGCTGCAGCTCGACTTTGATCTTGAGGGACGGCGCTGAAGAAACCGGGACAATGGTTCCATTTATCTGTTATTATAAGTTAGAATTCGATAATTCGCAGCACCTTTGATTCAAATGTACTCACGCTCTGGATAACCACAGACAGTTGCTTCTGAATTATCTCCTTGTCGCTAGAAGAAATCGCTGGCTTTTGTGCCGTCGTGCTGCCTGTTGTAGAACTGCTGTTGTTTCCCTGGGGCTCAGGAATCGCCATGCTCTTGCCCAGCTTTTCTAATGCGTTGTTGAGCGACACAACACTATGCATCATTCCTGACGCCGGCATGCTCATGACGCTTATCTTCCCGGCGAACTCGCCCTCCACGTAGACGGAGACACTGCAAGGCAACGGCAGCTCGCTGCGTTGCAGATCGACCATGGCCGAGTACATCTTGTGCGGGGCATCAGGCTGGGATGCGGCCGGCGATGAATAAGAGCCTACTTGGTCTTTGCGGGAGATGCAGCTGGAACGGCGATGATTGCGGCGATGATTGCGGCGAACCTTCCGCTTCCCGCTGGTGCCGCTCGGGCCGTACAGCCGGTTGACAGAAACCGTCACCTGGCGGGCAAGGGCGTCCTGGCTTTGGTTCCAGTCAATGATCTCGGGGTACGAGTAGCCAAAGCTCTTGATTTCAGAGGCCGTTCTGCCCGTGTGGAAATTACCAGCCGTGTCCCGGTAAAAGGGCTTGAGGGGACTGTCTGCGGTTATTGGCGTGTTGGCTGCCGTGGCAAAGAGAGCTCCGGATGGTAAGGTTTGGGTCTGCGTCTTGTCATTGTAGTGTATAGCCTGCCACATGGCGATGAGGCGGTCGACATTGGTATGGTGCAACATGCTGGGTGGCGCCATGCGTGTCAGTCTGGGAAAGACATCGATCGTGCCACCGTGTGAGGGGAACCTACAAGAGCGGATCAAAAGCGGAATATTCTATGTAAGCCATGACCGCGTAGATGGCTGCATGTACCGAGTTGTGCACGTCCTCGAAACTGTTTCCATTACTCTCCGTACTGGCCATCGTCTCGTAGTCTGTGGCGGTGGTAAAGACATTATACTGCGGGTGGGTATCAGTAACAAATTCCGGTTCCTGGCAGCTTGCGTACCACCAGTTTGGTGCAGCGATTCGCACTTACCGTATTCGCCTTCAAATCATCCTGGCTGAGCTGACTGTTGGCCAAGCTGGGCCGGTTGTTCCCGTTCGCGTCAGGCCACCGCGTCGTTTCGGGGAAACCCCAGCAGTTGCGGTCGCCACTCGTTGGGAAGTAGTTGGAGGCCGTGTTCAAGGGGAAACTCTGCCATTTGTATCCCAGTAATGGGTTTGCCATGGTAACTTTACCGCCGGGCCCGTTGACGGTGATGGTTGTCTGCGTTGCGATCGTGGGAAGCTGGGCGCCGCCGTCGGCCGCCCAGTCCCAGTAAGGATGCCTCCAGTTATCGGCTGCTGTCTTATACTCTTGCGCGCGACTACCGCTATAGTTGGCGGCGATGGCCTGGATGTGGCTGCCAAGGACTTGCTGCGATGGTTTTAGCCAAAAGCCCTGTCTAAATTGCCTGTTAAACAGGTGCATACCTCAAACAAGGCAACATAGGGCCGATGCCACATAGGAAACTGAACCATCTACGAGATCGTATGTGTTAGCATTACTAGAATTGTTGTAAACGGCGAGTATACTAACACCGTGAGGGCAGTAGCCGCCACCGGAACCACCCGGTACCGCCTGGACGCCGTTCCATGGGATGTTGGGTCGCCCGTGGATACCTAAGAGCCCAGTCAGTCTAATTCCGAACAATGACCATGTTTTGGTGGTGCTCATACCGCTGATCTGAAAGTACGATAGCATGTCATTCTCTGAAGTATCTCTCTGCATTGCAGCAAGGCCCAGAATGTACAGATCCCTGTAATTTTGTAAGCTTACCATGCCTGCATTGTGTGCAAACGTGGCAGATTCTTACCATTGAGCGCCCGAACCCTGAAGATCATTGATGTTCTGGCGCAGTGGCCGCTGACCAGAAGAGCTGTCTATGCCCGTCTTCAGACCAGTAATCGCATACGGCCCGGACGGTGATGGGGACACCTGTGCCTGCTTTCTGGATGTGGACGACGACACAGCTGCGACCGAGGGGCGTGGGGTTGTGGTAGTTGTGATAGGCCTTTGTACTGCACTTGTAGGCGTAGGTTGTATCGAGACTTGGTTAGAGGAAGATACCGGCGAAGCCAATGAGACTTGGTTAGAGGAGGGTACCGGCGAAGCCAATGAGACTTGGTTAGAGGAGGGTGCCGGCGAAGCCAATGAGACTTGGTTAGAGGAGGGTACCGGCGAAGCCAATGAGACTTGGTTAGAGGAGGGTACCGGCGAAGCCAATGAGTCTTGGTTAGAGGAAGGTACCGGCGAAGCCAAGGGTTGCGATGCCGGGACTGGCACCGGAACTGGCACGGGGTTCGGGCCCCAGCCCAGTGGCCCTGGCATGGGGTTCGGGCCCCAGCCCGGTGGCCCTGGCTGCGGCGGCCCTGGCGGCGGCGGTCCTGGCTGCGGCGGCCCTGGCTGTGGCGGCCCTGGCGGCGGCGGTCCTCGGGCCGGTGGTCCTCGACCTGGTGGTCCTGGGGGCGGGGGACCACGGCCCGGAGCCTGGGGTAGGAACCATGTCCATTGAGCCTCAACAAGGGCCGGAAGGACGCAGACAGCGACAGTGGCTGCCAACTTGCTAAGGTGAACCATGTTGACGAATTTGAGACTGCCGTTGTTTGATTCGAGATGATGATTGTGAATGTTACAGCCAACTGGGTTCCGTCTCTAATATACCTCGCAGGCAATGAATCTTGGGCTTAATCACTGGTTTGTCAGGAGTCCTCCAATGCGAGCATTGTTCTCCGGCAGTGGCTTAGTGTGTATCATTATCTACGCTTAACCGGCACGTCTACATTTTGCTATACAATTAGCGACATGGCCCGAGATTCAAGACCGTAATAGCTGATTAGAAAAAACGCCTTTTTGATCCCTGGCTTTGTTTAGTAAGATGAACAACGCATATTTGCGGCCAGGTACAGGAAGCATTGTTCTACGCTGTCGAAAATCAAGGGGGAAAGGGAACATGGCCTGAAACTAGAGCAGCGCAATTGTGGTTTTCGATTCCAGATTAGCATTGTGAGGATGCAACTAGTCATGTTAGTTTAGGGGCAAGCAAGCCGATCCGTCCAAGAGAGCATAGTACGGGGCGGCAGCCGTCTGTTACATCTACACTAGTGCCGCCTTGACGCTACTGACTTGGTGGGAAACTAGTGTACGACGACGGCGGAATATTTTGACTCTCATTTCCGGACGAGTTCAAAGGAGATGTTCACCAGCGAATTGGCAAGTTGAGATGAAACTCGTCGCCGGCAAAAGATCTAGAAACAATATACAAGGCCACATGCCTCGCTGTGTCTGTATACGCTGAAGAATGGCACATTAGTAAATCATGTGCCTGCTACCACTTATTGTCGCTGCAGCACCACAATCTTTCTCAATAGCAACATATCGTAACAATGGTATATTCCTAGCTGCAGAAGTTATATTGGCAGTTGGAGCACAGACGGCTACGGCTAGGTGAACTTCTTCTACACACATCCTGGAGCGCCCCTCCCCCCTTATTGGAAATTCAGATGTGGACAAAGGAAAACCGTGACCTAATAAACCATACACTCCGAGTCTCGCAGGCTGCGTTTCTCCTTCATGTTATTTGACTTACACGCAAGTTATCTAAGATATGCAACATCCATCTAGTTGGATGTTACGACAGCCACGTGCAGCTGCTTCGACCGTTGTTGTATTGCTGCGGAAGTTCCCCAGGTCAACAACAGGCGTAAGGGTTACGTAGGACTCATATGCTTCCTATACGAAGGGCACGAGCTTATCGATTTGTGCACACACTTTCGTCAATGCATCGCGGCGCCCAAGCAAAAACGTCACCTACTGTCTGTCACAGTGATAGCTGTCAGTATACCGAGATGTTACGAGGCCAAGGCAAAGCGGTCCCTCGTATATCACGTGGCCACACATGCACGCACACAACAATGCAAGGACAAACCGCCCAGATATGATGATTGATGCTCTTAAACACATATAGTTATGGAACCTAAACACACATTTCATGGTCACCTTTGCAAACATTGTTGTCTTCTCCATAGTGTCTGGGTTTTGTTAGTCCCGCCGTTTACCTGTGGAAGTGGAAATGCTCTGCTTAGTCATCCAAGACGAGTCGATTACATAATACTTCCACCATGGCCCCGTTTCCCCCGCGACGATGAATCGAAACGCTCGGTCGCCGTCGCGTCTTTCGACATCCACAGACAATCACGAACCCTTGCGGGTGCGCTTCAAGACGCGTCTCCGCGACGCCCCGTCTTCATCCCGCCGGAGTAGTACACAGAAATCTCTCCCGCAGCAATGGTAATTCATTCTCGGTTTTTCCTCTCCAAAATAATGCCGGGCTGCTGTCTGATTGCGCTTCATGCTAACGTATCGTTTATCAGCAGAAACCCAAGTCGCCGCATAAGGACCAGGCTCCTAAAGTCGAGATCGTACCCTCTACCCGAGTCTCGGAAGAGATACCCCTTGTTGTGGGGATGTATATCGCTGGTCACGGACGAATGCGCGACGGCGAGACGGTCCTAAAGCTCACGCGACAGAGCAACAACCTCGACGATGAGCCATTCGTGGCATGGGTCCCCGAACACACGCTGCAGTATCTCGATGCTGATGCGGTCTATGAATATTGGGAGGATCTTCCGGGCGGCAGGGACTATCAACTCGGATACGTCGAGAAATGGAATGCAAATATTGCTGCAGGCCTCAACAAGCAGCACGGTATCACTTGGGAGATATTCAAGATTAGCGAATGCAGAGTCCGTAACCGGGAGATGGAAATGCTGGTTCACTGGCAAGGGTACAGGGAGGAGGAGTCCAGCTGGATCGCGGAACGCGAGCTCAAGCAGCAAGCGCCCCAGATGGTGTCGTTTTTTTGGGAACAGCAGAATGATCCCACGGCAGTGGTCTCTAAGCAATGGACGCAAACTTCTCTTTCAAAAAGATGACCGCATCGCTCTCGGTCACGATGCGGAATACCACTATCAGGAATGGGGTTGAAGGCGAAGGTGGCAGGCAGGCAAAATCCTCGGTCTGTCAATGATTTGGGCGCCTGGCAGCGGGAAACAAGGGTGGGTTTGTATCAAGAGAACCATCAGGACTGCGGAGGGCAGACTGTGAAGAATATGCACAGCCCCTCTCCGTGGCAAAAATAATGAGAATACTCGGACTATTTGTGTATGCCGCTGCTACATGTATTGCTGTCGTCCTCGGGTCGTCCCACTACGACGAAGCTCTTTAATAAGTGACTTCCCTTGACTGTGGTTTGTCACAGAGATATAGGCGACTCTCAGCTTTTCCTGCGACGCCGAACCGGACAAGCCTGTCATCCAGACGTCGTGCAACTAAGAAGATTGTCATTGATGATAGCCAGGCCTGACTGATGGCGCAAACATGATCTGCCCCTGCTCTCAGCATGGGACCGGAGCAAGCCGGAATAAAGTCCGCATGCCACACGTGACAGGGTCCCTATTGACTCGTGACGGCGGCCTGTAGCAGTAAATCATCGTGCATTTGTATGGACGGGACAGGCACAGGGGAATTGTGGAGAGCTGAAGGATGATTTAGGTCGCAACGCATGAAGCAAGTAGACGAAGCGCGATGCGCGTCTACGAAGCAACAATAGGTAAATGGCATATCATTGACGTTGTTAAGCAGGCCGTCGCCTCTGCTGGTGTTCTCTTTGCTAGGCGGCAAGCCACAACGATACAGCAATCTCTCGAGGGCCAAGTTTATGGTAAATTTGTAAACGGCACAATCAAGAGAAACATTGTCGCCTAGTGTCGTGCGTTGAGCTTCGAGTCAGTATTGCGCCTATTACGTGATCCTTGAAAAATGCACAAGCCGCTCAACGGTCTTTGAGCCAATCATCACCTTCTATAGGGTAAGATTTTGATGTTCAACGAGCTGAGAAGAGCTTGTCCATTCGTTCGTGATGCCACCGCATACCTATCCATGCACGAACCTGGTTAAGGCACTGAAAAGCAGTTCCTGATAATACGAAGCAATGAACTGACGAGCTCTTAAAGCCTTCTCAAAGAGTCCAATCATTGTTAACTTTCTGACAACCTTTGATTTTCAGGATGGCAGCTCCATCACGCCGCGAGGTCATAACCTTGAATCAGTGGAATAATAGCTTTATCTCCACCTGGGCTGGCCCAAGCTCCCAATACCCTTTTGGATCGACCGACCAAAGCTCTACCTATTTGCTACGGAGTATCCGTACACCCAGCAGCAAGGTACATACATCCTGTGGACGCCACAGACGCCACAGCTAAACTGATCAGATTCACCCCTCCATTATTGGTCAATTCGAGCACTTTAAAGCTGTGGGAGCCGAGGGCTGACACGACCGCGATCAAACTGTCCGTCCACGCGTTCTGTCCGACCGGCAGTGCGTATTACGTAAGGGGACCTCGCCCGCGTCCGCGATCCTGCTTTAGTTCCTAGGTACGCAGTATTCGCAAGGTTATCTCATCCATCCCGACAGGGACCTCGTTGTTCGCCTCGGCCTCATCCATATGCACTCCGTAGACGAAAGGATCCTGGTGACATGGCAGGTCGACAGTCTCGAGGCCATCTTGGGCCGGGACTTGTCGCCCACGACGTGGAGCCATCACCTGCGTAAACGTCTCTTGGCCCTGAGCCGTCTGGTCTCCCTCCAAGAGGCCCGCGAGTTGCTGAAACAAGAGCTCGCGTCCCGCCTCAACGATCCCGTCAGGAACAGAAGCGCGCAGCGCAAACACCTCTGCGACATCGACGTCCTCCACGTCGTCAACGCCCTGCAGAAGGACAACCCGCGACCCGAGCTGCTCGACGAGGTCAGTCGTCTGTTTGTTTGCTTCCTTTGCTGATTGTCGCACCCGTGCGGCCAGACTAACTGGTTCTGATGCGCGTTGCAAGGACGAGCAGCTGGACCCTATCACTGTCGCTCCCGTTTCCACTCGCTCCACGAGGCGCAAGAGAGCACGACCACAATCTCCGGACCAGGCAGATGCCCGGCCGCCGTTGCGTTCCCGAAGCCCGGACCTGACCACCCCCTTCACCCTGAGCCGCCCACCTGGTCGTCCGCCCCGAGACGACTATCCCCTCCAGCTTCTTGCACGCACCGCGGCCGATTCCAAACCGCCTTTTGTGCCGATCCTTCCACGTACCCATCGCCCGATGCGGGCAGTCCCAGTGACATATCGTCACGGCCCTACGGCGGACCACGGCAAACACACCGACACGATAGTCGTGGACCCGAACTCGCCCGAGAGCCCAACACCCCAATCGAGGAACGGGGTTGCCATGTCCCCTCGAGACGGCCCTAGCCCATTGCCGACCCCCGAGAGAGGCGATGCCGACGAACTTGCGAACGACGCCACGACGACCGATGACGTCGCGAACGACGCCGCGAATAACGATACTGCAGGCACTGATGTGGCTGACAACGACATGGCGAGCGACGATGGGGCGAACGAAGGCATGGCGAATGGAGGCACGAGCGATGATTTGGCGAACGGCGACATGACGAATGAGAGCAACGACACCGATATGAAGATGGTGGACTCGGTCTTGGACCAGGATATCCCACGGCCGCAAACCGCCATCTCATCGGCTTTGAAAACCCCAAACTCTTATGTCGATACCGTGTTTATGCCATTTGAGGACGAGACCCATACGACAACGGTGAACACCACCTTGTTCCGGAATATCCCACGACCGAAAACCGCAAACCCTCGTGTCGATAACGTGTTTGCGCGCCTCAGGAACGAACGGGAGTACGAGATAGCAGACCTCGAGGGCGAGGTGCAGAAACTGAGGTTCGAGGTAGACGTCAAGAGGACGCAGATCCAGCTATACCGGCACAACCATATGCAGGCGCGACGGCGTGCTGAGCGCGCCCGCGGCTCGCTGGATGACCTAGTGGCCGAGGAGGAGCAATCTGGCCAGGTGGCGGGGTACGACGAGGCTCTCGCGGAGCTCAAATCGTTCGGCGAGCGATACTCGTCCATCTTCGATGCCCCGGGCGAGGACAGCCCGGGAGACCAGAAGAGACAAACCCCTCGTACCCCCGCAAAGCGAATCTCGTCAAAGATGTCGTCGCTCGGGACGCCGGGCGTTCAGGATGTCGGCGAGACCCCGAAGGTGCTTCTCAGCAACCTGCACGCGGCCATCAAGATGCAAAAGGCGCAACAGATCGAAAGAAGGACGGCGCTCCAAGAGGCGAGAGCGGCGGCGGAGCAAGACGTAAAGGACGCCGAGGCCGCTGTCGCCGAGAGGTTGGCCGAGGCAGAGGACGCGGAAGCGAGCGTGACGAGCCTGCTGAGCAGTCTCTCGAGCCTGGAGAACTACCTGAACTCGGTCAAGGAGCAGGCAGTACTTCTCAACAAGATGGGCGCCTGTTGAAGTTTGCATGAGGAGGCATCTGAGCGGCGTCAAAGCGTGGCACTACAAGTAATTAAGCCTGCAAGCGGAAGGGCTGGAGAATATCCGGCCCGGCTCTGGTCTGTCTTGATAATATGTATACTACAATTCACAATATCCCTTGGCTCACCTTGGCTTACGGACATGATCGCGAGCTCTTTCCGAATAAAGTGAACGACGCATGCCTGTCCCACATCCACACTAATAGAATGCCGCCGGCCTCCTCAGCTGCATTTCGTCAATACGGTCTTGAAACACCTGCCGCCTCTCGCTATGCCATGCTTCCCGTCAGGGTCTGCCAGCAGAACAGGCCGTTTATCCTTGTAATATGCAAGAGCTTTATTACCCATCCAAGTTAATCAAGCAACGATGCCCACTAGGGACCATAAGGAAGTATAGGGCAGGCTTCATATCCTTGTCAGACATTCCCTCTATATCAGATATTGTGGCCTTGGGAAAAGTCCTGAAGAACCTCGCAGTGATTAGGTGGAGCTCGATTCGCCCCAAGTGTCGACCCAGGCAGGCTTTGAAATATTAGTAACCTTGAAGAAGAAGAAAAGTCGAAAAGGGTAGGCTAGCTTACTTCTAGAACCTCCTCCAAATGGCATGGTGCAGTCCTTGATCAACTGCGTGGTGTTCTCCCACCTCTCCGGATAGAAGCGGTACGGGTCAGGGAAAGCATTCTCATCCCGATGGAGACTGTAGGCTTGTGTTGTGACTGTGAAGCCACTAGGGACAAACGTTCCAGAAAACTCGGCACCACTAGCAGGGACTATCCGCGGGAGGCCGCATGGTAGAGCGGTATAAAGCCGCAGTGTTTCGTCGACAACGCAATTTAGGTACTTCAGCTCCCTCAGATCGTCGTAGGTATAATTGTCTGGGAGACCGTCTAGCTCCTCCAGGAGCTTAGCTTTGATTTTGGGGTGCTTGCAAACAGCCCAGACAAGGTAAATCATAGAGTTAGCGGTAGTGTCGCTGCCGCCCACAATAAAGACCTGAGCGTTGTCGCGGATCTCAATCGGCGTCCACGTGTCTTCTTGCCCTGCATTGTATACCTTTCGGAAGACGGTTGGGCGTGAATCCGAGCCAGTCTCCTCAATCCGTTTGGCGTGGCGGTCCAGTGCGGCTTGGGTGTAATCGAAAGTCCGATACTGAATGGTTGTGGCCTCCTTAAAGACCGGGATGGGGAGATAGAGCGACAGGAAGGCAATGATTGGGAACGTAGTGCGGAGGCTAGAAACAAAGCCTAGGCGAACAAAATCGTTGACAGATTGGTTTTTCTAAATTAAACTGTAGTCAGTGTGTTGTTTTATAATAAAGTAGGGACTTGATATAATATACCTCACCTCTCTCTAGATTCCCAAATGACTCACCAAAGGTAAGATCACCAATAACGTCAAACGAGAGAAACATGAACCACTTGGCAACGTCGGCTGCCCCACGAACTTTATTCTCTTCGTCGATGCGCGAGATGGCAAGTCGCACTTTGCTGTCAATCCGGGACAAGAATGCCTTGAGGCCAGTCTCAGACATGGGATTAGACAAAAGTCGTCTATACTTGCGGTGGATATCTGGATTGATCTCGTTGAAGACGCTTGAGGAGTCTGTAACGAGTTGGGAGTACCAGGGCGACTTAAGAAAACCGGTCTTGGCGCGATGCGTTGGCATCCAGGCGGGTCAGAGACGTCGACCTCGTATGGACTGTATCGTACCACTGGGCCGTATTTCGCATGCAGGTCGTGGATCCAGACAGGATGGCTCGCCATGATGGTTTTATATACTGAGGGCATCGTGGTGAACCGGGTGTACCATGGACCCGGAATATGCGAAAGCGGATTTGTGATGCCGACGTAGACGTATTGCTTTTCACCTAGTTAGTTTGGCCAATAATAGTGGCAAGTTGCACCTAGCGAGTGATACACACCGTAAGGAATGCAAGGCAAAGAAAGGCGCCTCCGAGGAGTAGAGTGTCTGTTTTGAGGAAGTCCATGACGAACGTAATCACACGTGTTTGCTAATTAACAACTGTTACAATTTTAAAGCGCACAGTAGGTCATTGAAGAATACATATGCGAGAGCAAGAAAATGCACAAGGAAGCAAACAGTGTTTATATATAATCAGGTGACATCAGAAAATAGAACAAAACGTGAGAATGCTGAAACGAGTTGGCACCAACAATCACGGGGCGAGTTTCGCAATAAGAGGAACACAGAGACCACATCAAAATGCAACAGGCAGTGTATTTGTTGTGCTTTGAATTCTACCTGTCAAAATGGCCTTATCTGTACTGGACGGAATCCCCTAACGGGGCTGCGAAGCTATTCTGGCCGGTGATATGTAAGCGTATACGGCTTGAAACCGGATTAGCACCACGTGTAAGTTGATAGTGGTAGACAACCCATTCTTCGTGTCAGGTGCTGAAGGGGACAGCCTTGGAGCAGGGTGCTAGGGGGCACCAGGTAGGGCTAGGACAGCAGCAAAACAGGATTATGGATAACATTACACTAGGTAGCATATAAAAGGAGTTTTAGAATAGCTTTAGAGGCTTCTAGAGGGATAGCTGAAAATGATAGTGTTACAACCCAACAAGTTACAGGCAACGTCAGCCTCACTAAGTCCTAGGGGCCAAGCAGCACAACTTTTATATTAATAAATACAGCGCTGTCCGTAAGCAATCAGTTATGCCAACACTGGATGGCACAAACGTCATATTATCATGTGCCCATTTCAACCAACGACTCTGAAAGCTTGATCATCTATAGCGCTATGCTGTCGGGATAGTGGCCAGATATCCCGATATTACAGCCCTCGCCTGGACAGGCAACAAAACGAAAAATGCATTAGGCAACTACAAAACGCTCACTAATGAAGCACTGTGCCCGGTGACGCTAAAGAGTAACAGAACCCAACTCCTCCCCTGGTGATTTCGTGAACATGACTGTGGCAGACCAAAACTGCATTCATAAAAATCTGCGTGACCGACGGGAGCATGGTCATCGTCGTCGCGTCCTCTTCCAAGGTGCCGCTTTGACCGATTTGAGGTGCTGTTTCCAAAAGGAAGTGACAGCTTCGGGTGATTGCTGGTCGAGATCGCGTTCAAGAACCCAGCTAGACTCTTCTTCTCGGTACCCCTGCCAGTGGACTAGCAGCTCCGTCTCTCTTTTGCGGACTCTGAATTTCAAGACTCTGAAGATCTCCCACTTGACGTTGTGCTGCTCGTGGCGACCCAGACGACGGTTCGCAGCCCATTGATGCATGTAGCCCAGCTGGTAGTCCCTGCCACCCGGAAGACTCTCCCAGTACTGGTACACCGCCTCAGCATCCTTGGCCTGCAGTGTGTGTTCCGGGACCCAAGCGAGGAAGGCTCTTTCGTCGTTGTCGACGTTGTCGTTGCCTAGGGTGAGCTTCAGAACCGTCTCACCGTCGTTGAGTCGTGCATGGCCGGTGACGACCATCCCCGGGAAACCGGGGAGCTCATCGGAAACTAAAGCGCGTCTCACGGACGGCACTTTCGGAGCCGGCTCTTTATCAACAGGCGGGTGCGGTTGCTGCCCAAGGAAGCCTACACGTTAGCGCGCCCCAGGGTTCTTGAGCAACGGGACTCTCGATTTTGAGATCGCGGCGATGGCTTACCGTCTTCATCATTGACTAGTATCTTGTGCGCCGAGGTCGAGAGTGGGTTTCACCCCAGAGACGCGTTCTGGAGCGCGCACGCGTTTGTTCATGATGGATAACCTGGCGAAGACGCGTTTGTCTAGGGGGGAAATGGGCCTAGCGGGACACATTTGTCCGTGTCAGTACATATCCCACCTGGCATCAGGTGGCAGCAGGTGTTATGTAATCAAGGCGTGTCGCCTCATCTTCTCTCATTGACTGGCTGAACTCCCGTCTTCATCAACAACACCAACACCAACACCCTTTTCCAGATGCGTTGCGCTGCCCGCCCCCTCCGCTCCGTCCAAACTCAGGCCGTTGTGTCAAACCGATTGACTCATCCGCGTCATGAAAGAGTGGGCGTGTAAACACTGTAACCAGGATGGCCCTTCAGTTATCAGTCCGCCTCGGATGTTCGCCAAAGATTGGCGCGGTGAACATCTGCTCCATGAACGCTTCTGTCTGGGTTTGGACTCGACCGGCCGACCCCTCGGCCTCCCTCGGGAGTGCCCGGCATGTAAGCAGTCACTAGCGGCCGGCAAAGAGCCCACCGTCATTACCTGGCGCAACCATTGGAAGAAGTGTCAGCCCGACTATCCCGTCACCAACGTCTTCACCATGAAGAACATCATAGCCATGTTCGAGAAGGATTTGCTACCGACCACGGACTGGAACGCCTCGTTTGGAAACATTCTTTCTCGGAGGGCCACCTTGATGTCTGACCGCACACTCTGGCCTATTGCCCAGAAATGGGAGTCGAATCCGAATGCAGCTGTCCACGAAACAAAGACCGTGCTGCGCGCATACCGGGATGATTTCAGGTAAGCCTTATTTCCCCCCGACTTGTCATGTCCTGGCACTGCTGCCATTCTCTTCCGGTCGCAAGTCTTTATTGGGGCATCCTGGTGACGGGCGACACCCTTGACTGGATAGGATACAAACCGGCGGCTTGCCCAACAAATAGTGGGAGATAATAGACCAATGCATTCGGTCACTGCTTGGAAACGATTTCGTAGTCTGATGATGACGGCAGTACATTCTTTCGTGACGCAATTCCGCTCTCCTTCCACGCCCACGTTTCCGATATCACTCCCCACATCATTGTCTCTGTCATCCTCGCGCTTGAGCTCGAGTCGACCTGTCTAAAGAAGACCGAGAAGTTGTCGGCCAAGCAGATTCAGGATTGCGGCGTTGCCGTTTTCAACGGATCCTACGGCGCGGGCCGCGGAGTTCTGGTGAGCCATTCGTTCCTCTGCGATTCAAATCCTCCTACCTTGCTTGCTCACTCATGACTGTCTTGAAAGGCTGTGACAGCCGCCGCGCCCTTCATCAGGGAAACGTCGTCCGGTCAGGCGCCCGCTGTGCTGACACTGGCCCAACTACGCAACCTCCCCCGCCTCAAGCAGACCCTTTCGAAGCTCAGGGCAGAAGGCACCGTTGCCGCCATTGTCGAGATCGTCGCGTCCTCGACGGGTCGGCTGTTGACCAAAGACGAGTGGGAAAACCTGGCCCAGGCATGCCACTCGGCCGGACTGTACCTCGTCGTCGACGAAGCTCAGACGGCCGTTCGCTGCGGCGCCCCCTTTGCCCACCATCACCCCACCTACTCGGCATACCGCCCTTCTTTCGTGCTGTTTGGCAAGGGGCTTCGGGCTTGTGGCATCGCAGCGTACACAGACGGCGTGATGACCACCAGTCTCGGACATACAAGTGAGACCATGCGCAAGGTGACATATCGCCTCGACTCGACCTTCTCGGAGCCCATCAACTCGTACGTCTTGCTCCAGTCGTGGGCCATCGTGCGCGCCGCGATGAAGGAGGACTGGCCGCGCCGCGCCACGCGGATCGGCGAGAACCTGCGGAGGATCCTGGCGGACATGACCCCGCCCGGCAAAACGACCTCCGTCATGGGAATGGGAGCCTTCATCCTGATCGAACGGGGCCAGGCCGCGACGCTGTGCATCACCGGCGCGAGCGCTGGCAAGAAGACGATCCGGTGGCTACCCCCCCTCGACAAGTCCCTCGCCAACTACGAGGCGGTTCGTGCCCTGTTCGGGCCCGCCTCCGCCATGTTCAGGGACGACTTGTACCAGCTCCTGGACGAGCCAACCATGGTCTGCGTCAATTGCGGCGAGGCTCTCGAGGGCGCCGAGGGCACCTCGTGGGTCCGGTGCCCCACGTGCAAGGGGGCTTTCTGCGGGTTCTGCACCGAGGAGGGGTATGAAATGGCGCCTGTGCACCAACGAGGCGAATGCCTGTCCTTCTAGAAGGCCATACGCGTCGCGTTGATGGCCTCTCGCCTCCCCTCGTGTAGCGCGCATGCCTTGTCGTGTATGCAGATGCGTCGACTGGCCCTCAAATCCCAACACATATCGTTTGCTTACCGTAGATCCCCCTCCCCCGTCTTACGTACCCTGTATTGTTTCTGGGCAACAGGATGGTCACGGAACTGGGAATAGGAATAAGAGCCGCCCCCGAGTGACGTTGAGAATCGGAACTTCGGAGCACCATCCATCATGTCATGGCATCCCTCTTGAGAACGGCTAAGCCGCAGGAAGCAAGACTTGAATGCGGTTCAAAAGGAGCATTGTAAACAAAGCAGGAAGTGCGATAATGAGAATGCGGTGCAAGATTAGAGACTAGGCGCAGGTTGTACTAATACAGGGGCCTAAGCAGGGGTCTAGAACAACTTCACGACAACTCGATGTAATTCCTTACTTTCGTTCTGTTAGTTTTGCCTGGTGTCGCTTTTGCTATACTTAGTTTCCTAGGTCGTCCCATATTACCGGAGGCCACAACTAGTGTCTAAGAACCCCCGAGTCATAACCACATCAGCGGTCCCCACTCCTGTCTCATATAGTTTCAGGAGACGTTTGTGAGTGTAATATTAAGACTTCGAAGACGCCTTGGCTCGCGAACCTGTTCGGTCAGTAATAGCTACATCTAGTTATTGGCCTAGGTGATTGGTTTGTCGAGTCATGCCTTTGCTAATAGGGTTCCGGCTCGACCGCGCCATAGAGCTTGGCATCCTCCGTGTTGAGGGTCTAATCTATGCTACAGAAGTTTTAGAACATGCTATCTAACTTTTACAGTCTCGCTACGTCAAACTTGTGGCTTGATAACAGAGTGGTATTGAATGCTTCTCCTTATTGTAGTTGTGTATATAATGAGCGTCCGTGCCTTATGTTGAGATGGCTGATTCTATATCTTCATCTCATTTCAAAGTTATAGCCGGTCTATTCAATCTCTTTACTTCTTTTACAACTTGTTTATCTTCCAAACCAATAATCTTCAACATGCAGATCTCTGCCATCACTTCAATCATCTTGGGCATTGTCTCCGTCCAGGTCTCCGCCGCTGGATTCAGAGCAACTTGCGACACTGTCAATCTTAGTGGTTTCACTTTGTCGGCGGAATGTACAACGGGACTAGGCGGTTTTCCCCGCGCCACTACTCTGGATATCAACAAATGCTTCTTTGCGGTTGACGGGAAAATTAACTGCGGCGCTGGGGGTATCTCTGGATGCAAATGCAGCCAGACCGATGTGGCTGCAGCGAGCTGCACCTGTCCTGATAACGCTGGCAAACAGGTTACTAATAACGTTAATCTCGGTAAGCATAGGCTACGGGTCCCTTATATATACTCTGCCTACACTTGCTAACGTTGACCCTATAGATGCCTGCATTAGCAACAGTGACGGCAAGCTCTCGTGCTAATTAGATCACCCAAGCTAGAAAAGGGCATTATAGGCCTTGTCGTTTGTATTTCTTACAAGGGCATGCTTATAACGCTGTTGGAGTGTGGGCAATACGGTTAATTGATATGCTCTCAGAGCTTGGCCGAAACAAGCAACACCGCTCGAAGAATGTCGGTATTATTTTTGGGATGAACCTGTCCGCCCAAAATAAGAAAACCAGATGTCACGTGCATTTCGTACTTGGAGCCACGCATAGCAGGACATCCCAAATCCTAGAAGACCTTACTTAGAGGTAAACATCACACATGCCGATACAACACGCATTATCGCACCCGTATATGTACAAGTATACGTACCAGACGAGCTAGGGGACATCGCATCAGGAGGTATTCAGGGGCATTGGCAAAAGTTGTGTGACGGCAAGGTTACTCTACGGATAGGTACTGCTGATGATCTAGACGTAATGAGAACTGTTGAATATACTGTATGCTCCAGAGGAGCTCTTTGTAAACTTGTTACAGGACCAAAAACTATTATGTGTCGCTTGTGCATACTTTTCCATCACAGTTGACCCAGGCTGTCTTTCACCATCCCCAAACTGTTGCTACTGTTGTTATGCTGCCGGGGGTCAATCTGGACCGGACATCCATCAGCCCCCATCCCATCTACATGCTGGCTCTTGGAAAAATTAAATAACAAAAGCTCGAACCATATAAGGTTTGTCTTATGACCCCCTGATCTGCATTATGACATTTGAAGGAACTAATTATGGATAACTATCTATAACATACTTTCTGATATGGCACGTGCGCGCCTTATCAATATATACGTAACAATACGAAACCAGCGGGTAGACTCAAGGGGTAACGCAAAACCAGCCAACCTAGATACGGGCTAGTTTGCTACTGTACCGAGCTAGTAGTTCCCTCTATACCATCAAGTATAGTACAACCTTATATGCATCTGCCAAGAACATATAAAGAAGTGCAGTCCTCTTCGCAATCATGTGTCATCTCAGATCTGTCAGCTCATTTTTATCAGCCTCAGCGTTTTGTCTTCAAGTGTGCTGGTTACACACTCATTTTACCTTCTTTCTTTTGATACCCCGTTCTTGCATACAGCTATAATGCACGCCTCCACGGTCCTTTTCGCCCCTCTGGCTCTTCTGGCCGGCCTGGTTGCCGCCCGCCCCGCGGATTCTGACCTCCCTGCCACTGGCCTTCGCTGCTGCAATGGCGGCACAACTGATGATTCCGGGTTCTGCCTAGGCCTCGGCCTAAACTCTTTCTGCGTAAGCTAGTATCCTGATACAACTAGAAGAGCCTATGTATCTGATGTCTTGCAGTGCAGCGGCTTTGATGCTGGCCGGAAGGGCGGATGTGACTCTATACCCGAGTTCCCAACAGGACGTGACATTCGAAACTTCGTCCCCAGCAACACCGGTTGCGAAGTTCCAGGCATCAAGGTGTCTGGCACCTTACCTGGCTTTATTGGATGTGCCTAAGAGCATGCGCCTAGGTTACGTTGAATGTGTTACTGTTGGTCTCACCAGGTTATTAGTGATACGGTTAACCGTACGTATCGATGGCGATTGACGAATATTATGGGTAACTGTTGATCTGTATTATACATGAAGAAGGGAAGTAACTATCGTGGGCTGGCTAGTTGAGCAGCCAGTTAATCCCCCGTGGGTTCGCGGTGGATCCCCTGGAGGTTCGGCCGCGGATAGTCAGGTGGTTCTCATCGGAGTTAAGGCCTAAACGCCGATAGCTGCTGGCGATGGTCAACATCGCAGCAGTTACATCTACCTAATAACGCTATAATCCAAACAGTTTTCATGATTTTTATGCACAGTAAACATGTTCTAGTCATATAGACTATGATGACGATATTCACTGCGGCGTATACTTTGAATCTAGTACTCATATGAACAACTTAGAAGATCTCAGGCGTCCTGCCGTCTCACCGAAAGAATCATTGGAAGCGAGATTGTGTCGTCTCTGAGGCACTATTGTAGCTCTGACCGCAAACTCGCTTACAGAGGGTCTAGGAAATTGATGCATCATGCATGTGTGTCACAGGTCATATGAACTGTCCTCTCATCAATTACATCATGCCTAACGAGTGGTCTCATATATTAGACCATGCCTTTCGACACGTCTGAAATCTGAGCCGCATATCTGAAATGAATGAATCAAGAAATTGGTAATTCTCTGGCTATGCCGCTGGCTAAACTTGCCTTTTGCCGCTGCAACAGAACGTTGAGACATGCTCATGGGGGAAGCTATACGAATCCTCTTTCGTACAGTTTAAGAAAATATCCAAAACCCTAAAAGTTGAAGACGCGCTACATTGAGCAACGTAAACCATCGGTTTGAAATGTGTCAAAGTCCAATGTTGTTTCTTCTGAATCACTTGTATTCTTTATTTGGTATGAGGAGTCAGGACAGACATGATCGGTGACAGGGCTGAAAATGAGTAAACTGCATATGTCGCTGTAGCTCACTTTAGCCACGTTTCGTATTGGTCATGGCCAAAAGGCAGAAACGACGCCGGCGGCTACGAACATAGAGAACGTGGTGAGAAGAAAGAAAAAGGTGGCTGAGGGCCTCACCGCAGAATCAAGTGTAGGCAATACCAATAAACATTTGACTCAACATAAAGTAAAGAAGGGTAAAAAATATTAGAGTTGCTCTTGCCGGCACACTGTATCCTCCAGCCTGGTGGCTCGTGAGCATCTCTATGGCGTATGACACATATTTCTGGTCATAACTAAGGGAACCTTTTTTTTTTTTCGGGGGGGGGGGGGGGGGGGGGGGGGGGGGATAAAACAAAGCATCGTCACTGTATCGCCATCTGGCAGGCCTGAATATGTCAATGGACAAGTGCCGATGAGTTGGTGTACTCCCAGAGTCTCCACATAGATCGAATCAGTCAGGTTTCCTTTCCAGTAGCAGACAAGTGGGAGTTATCACAGCATGGTCTAGACATTTCTCCTTTGTTTCCAAATTTCTCACCTTGGGCCGCACTAGGGGATGAAACTCCGACATCATCTTCCACGACTTCTTCACGGCATCTTGAAACTCAACAGTGGCGTCGGCATTGGTTCCCATCAAAGCCTTTCTCTTCAAGAACATTTCAATATTGAATAGGCCCTAATTTGTCTTTCCCAACCTATTTCCTCTCTCGAAGCGGGCTCTTATCAGCACCCCCATCACCGCGGCAAAAGGCAATTCATGTTCTGTTTATCTCCTCGGTATCGATTCAGCCCGGTGGATCTGCAGTGGATCAAGCCTTCGCATCTGTGTTCTGGATTAGTCAAAGACTGGCGAGAAAAGAAAAGGGAATACGAACTCTTCTTCTTGACACTGCGAGCATGAGCTGCGCGGGCCTGCTTGGCGGCCTTGAGCTTGTCGCGTTTGGCCTTGGCCGCTGCGATGCGGGTGCGAGCGTGAGCAGCGCGAGCTTGCTTCGCAGCTTTAAGTTCCGCCTCGGCATGAGACATATTTGCTTCCCCTAGATTGATCTTATGTTTGAATTTGTGTGTGATACTGACCAATGCTTCGCCCTGTGGTAGTGTTGGTGGTGATGTTGCTCGTTGGAGTTGAGGTCTTGGTTGCGATTCCACCCAGCGGCCCGACCGGTGGTGAAGTGGAGCAGATCCGAGGTCACGTGACCCGCCTTGGTTGCCCTCCTTCACTATAGTGATATCCACGGCAGGGACCACTTTCTCCTTCTTCTTCTTCCTCAACTAATCAATCAACAACTTCAGCAACTAATATTCAATACACGCTATTGCTGCTATTCGATCGGTCGCCTATGATACCAACAGTCTTGTTGTCCCCGAAAGCGCGTCAGCCCCGCTCTCTAGTGTGAGTGCTCTGTCCAATCAATTTGCTAGTCCACACATCGCCCAGCCAGGAAAGCCACTGCACATGACGACCACGCCACACCTCATGCACAGACGCCGGAGCTTCATACTGTGGGGTCATGGAGACCCTTGGTAGAGTATAAGGTCAGCATCGTTATTATATTTCTCGTGAATCGTCAACAGAACAGAGGCTTGTGATGGCTCGGCAGACCTGCCAACTCTTGGAGTGGCGCTCACCGCCATAGATTGCTGAAGATATCACGGAAGTATCGTCTGTAGTTGATCTAACTGGCCATTGAATCACCTTGATAGTTAGTCGGCGCTAGGCCAAATATGCTTTGCGAGAATATTGATACTGCGAGCAGCCTCAGCCAGACTAGACCGGTACCAGCAGTGCTTGTTTGCTTGGGTTTGCTTCAATCTGTATGTATTAATCAGCCCCCTACATCCTCTTTCCTTTGAGTTGCAGCTTAAGAACTCCATTTTGCATTCTTGCCAATCTCAAAACGCCCTTGACGGCCATTTGGAGTTCATGGTGATGGCCTGGAATATTTACATAACGTCGTGATATAAGCCGTGACTGCGCAGTGGCAATTACGGATCCGCTTTTGTCATCACACATAAGTACAACGGACAAAGCGAGGAAGAGGCCAGGCCCTTTATACTCGTCCGAGCAAGACTTTGAGCGTCGGCTTCTGTCGTCAGGGCCTTGGCCTTACTCGCCCAAAAACCTTGAGTCCCATTATGGACCGGATAGCTATAAAGTCGGCTATTAAGCTAGATCATGAGCTGAGCTGTATGACTCAGGAGCAAGACATAGCCAGGCATATATGAAAGACACTTCTAGATGCTCTGTTTACCTTACGGGAATACCTAAACCACGATGTACATATATAGACAGGGCACTCAGCTTTAGCTAATAAAGTCACTAAATATTATCTTATCATAGATTTAGGTAAAGTGTACATTTTTAGAAAATAATCTGCAACATCTACTAGTTATATATAACTAAGTAAATAATGTATTTGAATATAATCTAGAGGGCGATCTTTGGATTTGTCTTGTGTATATGTAGAGTTTCTACTAACAGCGACCTTTACTTCAGCCTAGCACTTTGCCAGCAAACAACACTACTATATTACACAACTTTAATAGTCAACAGGTGCGTGATTTTTGATTAGGTTCTACCTTAGGTAACTCCTATGCCTTTGGAAAGGATAAAAGCGTAAAAATAAAATACATACAACACCAGGTATTCGCTAGTCGTCACCGACCTAACTACTAATCCGGCCCTCATTGGCTTATCTATGGGAGAGCGGACGGGATCCCGAGTTTTCCAATGGGTATGGTCGTATGTGTTGGCTTTGACATGGTGGAAAGGTTATGTAGCTGCATCGGCGTACAGGTCGTCTACGTCCTCGTCGTCGTTCTGGCGTGAGGGCCGGGCTAGCTGATTATAGTGTAACAGGTAATGCATCATTCTAGTAGGCGCATAATAGAACAACCATGCAGTTTTAAGCCTGTTTTGAGTGCTATTCCTAGACCTTAAGCTACTTTGGGCTTTCTATAGTAATATCCCATGCCCTTTTAGAAGTGTTGGACAAAACGGACGTAAACTCTAGATAAGTACTTAGAGCCGGAAAATAATGACTAGACCTAAGGTAGATGCCGTAAAGTATCAGGACGAAATCAACCAGGTCACGGCTCCAGGTATCTGGCTGATGGGACGGCTCACATTAGACAGAATGTCTGCCAGTAAGCGCCCCAAATGCACCGTGACCCCTTTTGGAGCTATCCAATATGTAGGTCATAAAAAGGCATAGAGGATTTCCAGAATGAAGTTTAACCATTGTGCGTCTTTGACTGTAAAATGACAGTGCTTTGGCACTTGTTTAGCTTCTTATGAGTGATCCAGGGTCGAACGGTAACATGCCATGGGCAATAGCATCAGCGGCAGACTCATGACTCAGATATCCTCACTTACGCTATACAACGCTAGGATATTGACCCTCTAATACCGAACCAATCCGGCTGTTTGAACCCCGCTCCATCATCGTTCCGCTGCTGACCGTAGCGACCGGAGATACAGGTCGCAGTCGCAGTCTGATATCTGCTGCCTAATCATACCACGTGTGCCCTCAATCTTGTCGGCAGTGGCTACTCCTAATACTCGAGTTACTTGAATTGTGATCTGATCTTTCACGTCCAATCCAGCACCATCACAGTCCGCTCTCTCTACAACACTACTTGCGCGACTTTGATATTGAGAAAGGTTGATTGTTGTTTCTCTCCCACCCACAATTGTACCGATTACCGAGCACAATGTTTACATGCGATGAGCCCTTGAACCAACTTCTCCAGTCATGTCTGTCAGACCGCCATGAAGCAGATGCAAACAGAAACGCTGGAGGAGAGACATTGAAATGCGAATTCTGCGACAATCTCATTGCAGTGCTCGAAAAGAACCTAACGGATCATATTTCTTTTGACTTCGGACCCATCGACAGAATAGCAAGCTCAAGATGCGATCGACACCGACTTCTCATTCAACGAATAACTAAATGGCTGGATATTCAGGATGACTCGTCGGAATCATTGAAACTCTTCCGAAATTATTTTAGGTATTCGATCTCTTTCAGCCTCGGAGACAACTTTGGCAGGAATTCCCCCCAGTTGGATATGATGCAAAGCTCAAACAAAAAGCACTTCGCT